TCCAGGTCATTAAACAATGTCTTTATTTCCAAATTCTTTCTCCTCCTCCAATTCTGTGGTGTTTCATGGACCCTTCCAAATATGCGTCGTATAATCCTCCTTTCAAATCTGAGCAGGGATTTCTCAACTGCTTTAGTTAAGGTCCAGCTCTCACAGCCATATGTGAGCACTGGTCTAATAAGAGTTTTATATATTCTTATTTGGCCTGTCTTGACAACATTCGACTGCGAAAATGTCTCGGGAGGGAGAAATAGCACCGATTAGCCACTGCGATCCTCCTGTCTATCTCGCAGTCAATGTTATTTCGTGCATTTATCAATAAACCAAGATATACAAGTTCGCCAACATTCTCGATTCCACGCTGTTCCAGCCATGCTTGGTTTTCCCTTGTTAGATGTGAGGATAGGGTGGACATATATTTTGTTTTGGACACGTTAATAATAAGACCGATTTTCGCTGCCGACTCTTCCAGACTTGTAAAAGCTTCCTGTACTGCCGCAAATGATCTTCCCATTATATCAATGTCGTCCGCATATCCAAGTATTTGGCTCATTCGATTTAAGAGGGTTCCTGTAGTCTGGATACCAGAATCCCTCATGAATTTTTCAAGGGTAAAGTTGAATACCAGACATGCCAGAGCGTCTTCCTGCCTTACACCTGTCGATGTTCTAAACCCCTTTGTCAAGTCACCTTGTACTCGTACGAAACACTCATTACCCTCCATTGACATTCTAACAAGCCTTACAAGTTTTTTAGGTACATTCATTTCTACCATTGCTTTGTATGCTTCTTCACGATTTATGGAATCGTAATGCTTGCTTGAAATCAATGAAGATGTGATGTGTACCAATTTGATATTCTTTGGTTTTCTCCAGAAGGATTAGCAAGGTGAATATTTGATCGATGGTTGATTTACCCTTAATGAATCCGGCCTGTCATTTCAGTCTCGGCATAGGAAATTATTCTTCTATATAGAATCCTTGAAAAAAATTTTTAGGTGGTGGGTAGAAGGCATATGCCCCTATAATTACTACATTGATAGGCGTTCCCTTTTTTGTACACTGGGCATATAATGGATTTTTTCCAATCACTTGGAAGCTCTTCATCAACCCAAACGGCATGAAACATTTCCTGGAGGAGTTTTATGAGCTCTTGACTACCATGTTTATAGAACTCTGCAGGGATGTTATCAATGCTTGGGGCTCAATTGCTTTTTAGTCCTTCTGTGGCTTCATTGATTTCTCCCTCGTCTGGGGTTCTACGTCTCCACCACTTGTAATTGGATAATTTGCCTCTGAGACATTTGTGCCGTTTCTGTTACGAAGAGTCGAAAAGTATTCAGCCCATCTGTCTGAAATGCCTTGTTTGTCAGTTACTAAGGAGCCATCCTTTGCTCTGCATCCTGTGGTACGGGCGATAAAGGGCTTTCTTCCTTTATTAATAACCTGGAAGTATTCTCTAGTATTTTTGGAGATGAAGGCCTCTTCTATCTCCTGTAGACTATTATTCTCCCATCATCTTTTCTTCCTCCTATGGACATGCCTCTCGCGCCTTCTCGTTGCTCTGTATTCCTCGACAGAGCTTCGTGTGTGTGCTTCCTTTGCATCATTTTATTGTATGCAATGTTTTTTCTCTTGGTCACTGCACCACATTCGTCATCAAACCACGGGTTATATATCTGCTTAGTCTTATCCCCTACAACCTCGTTCGCTACTTCCATAAGTGCAGTGCGGCATGAGTTCCATTGTGACTCGAGATTTGATTCTGGGACAGAGCTCCTTAATCTGATGTCCAGTTGGTATGAGAATCTAATGCTTGTATCACTGTCCTTAAACTTATCAATATTGTACCCCTTCAGAAAACGTCGAGGCTGGTACTTCACTGTTGATATCCGATACCTTATTTTTGCAATTATAAGGTAGTGGTCCGAGTCAATGTTAGCCCCTCGTTTTGTGCGAACATCAAGTAATGAGGATCTATATCTGGCGCTGATGAGTACATGGTCGATCTGAGGGCTTGTAGTGGATCCGTTCCGTCCGAATTTCCTCCATTTTTCTAGATGCACTAACTTGTGCGGGAAATAGATACTGCCCACAACCAAACCCTTAGAGGCTGCGAAGTTAATGATATTAAATCGTACAAATAATAGAATAGCCCCTGACAAAAAAGGTTTCCTTTTTTCATTCGAAATTAGTGAATTACGAGGACGGATAACTGAAACTATAGAATATAGCAAAAAAAACTAATATATCCATTTCTATTGAAAACTTTTTGTCAGCTTTAGTTTCACACATGACATTATTATAGACTAGGTGATATGCCCGTCGTTGATGGGTGTATAGTTAAAATTTGAGAATCTTTTTTTTTAGATGAATTTTGTATTATGGAGGGAGGGTCAAAATTCAATTTCATAAAATTGGGTCGGGAAGGGAGAAGGGAGTTGTTTTGAATTTTTTTATGGCGGGACTTATGGACGTCAATGTTTCGCAATAGTCATACCAAAAACTTTGTTATTCGGCTATTTGTTTAGGTACCACACAGCTAAACCGACCACCATCGACCCATTAAAATTTGTTAATTAATCAAAAAAAATTGTAGTCTCTCCACTTCTTTAAACTCTGCTGAGTTTATCGATGGCAAAATAACATTGAACATTGGGTCACCCGCATCCGTGTAAAATTAGAACTTGAATATTGTGGTGGGCGGAGTGAAATTTTTGGGAGTTTTTTTTTCCTGATTTCCGGCTAATCCATTTTGTTAATTCTAAAATGTAAAATGTATACGATAACATTTGTTAGGCTCGGGAATTTTAATCGAATGCTACCTTGAACGGGAAGATCGGACAAAGTTGAAAAATGAGTATGTTTTACCCGATTTATGGGACAACGCGTTTAAGATGTTCGGTATTCCGGATTTTTCCCGTTGAGTTGCGATAATTTTTTTCATCAGTTGAATAGTATAACTTTTAAATGTGGCTCGCGATAGAGTAGGTTGGAATGGGAATCGAAGTAAGTAACTGCCTAACCGGGATCTCTACACAAATTACTCAAGAATTCATAACATTGGTTCTACTCAATATTTTGTTTTCATTTAAAGCATATGTTTTGAGTCAAGCAAACCTTAATATAATGTCAAGATTTCAAAAGTCTACAATAAGCCATCGCTGAGCTTACCCCTGACAAAATTTCGTTGTAATGCGGACATACCGACAGACAAACAATTTTTTAAATGTGGATTTGTTGTCTGCAATGTATGAAACGTTAATATATCATGAAACGGATTGATTCTGTTCAATATACATACAAAACCTTTATTTTATTTATAAAGATAGAACGCATAGTTTCACTGATATAAGTAAAAAACTGAAAAAAGTAAACTTTTTCAATTATAAATTCAATTTTTCATCTTGAAATCCACGGGTATGGGGCAACTTACTATTATATTATGTCTTAAGACTGTAAATACTATAAATTGAAAGAATTGGTAGTTTTATATATCTATAAGCAATCTTTATATATACTTTTACAACTTATATAGGGTTACAACTTATATAGGGTTACAACTTATAGGGTCTCTATCTATCTTCACATGACCGCCATTTTGTATTCCAGCAGCTATACAGACGTGCATTTTTTTTCATCAGGCCTATGAATATGATTAATTTATAAGGACAAAGCTTAGTATGAAAAATTACATCTTTTTTTATCACTCGCTCTCGGACTATAATGTTATTTCAACATTGAAATTTTATTTTGACAACATTATTAACAACATAAAAAAAAATAATAAGAGAAATAATATAAATGATAATAATAGCAGAAATTTTAGGCATGGTGGAAAATATATAATAATATAACATTACTTAACCTTCCAACTGCAGATTTCCAAATTAATATTATACAGTGGATACATCATAAACTAGTAAATATCACTAATTTAAATAAGCAAATTATAAATCATTAAGCATATTTTTAGATTGGCTTTGCTTTGATGTCTATATTTTATGCAATAGAACTTTTTTATTAACTTTTAAAATGTATTATTAAAGAAAATTAAAATAATTAACCCTAACTACAATACACCTAGAATACATGGATTAGTACAGTTATATAAAAATGCATCTCCACTTAGTCCATATCTGTAATACCAATGAAGAAATTGAAAAATTTGGTTAAATATCTCAATCCCGCATTCAATAATCTGAAATCAGATAGTAACAATGATGTAAAAAACTCAATAGAGGTGGATCAAACGCTTGAAAGAATAAATAAAATAGGTAAGTATTGTTTGGTCTGTTTTGATGCAGAAAATTTATTTACCAATATCAACTGGAAAGATGTAATCAAAATAATTAAAAAATACTGAGATAAAATACAACTGCATACTCAAATTTAAGGGATTTATGGGAGAGTTATGGATTAAAATATCATAGAAGCTAAAAATTGAACCTGCATACTATAAGCGAGAAAAATCTTCAGCATTTGACCTTCTTTATAATGAGCTATTATTTTTAATTTATATTTCATATTATTAATCTCGCCTTGTAGCTGTTTTCACTTCTATCGTGTGGTCTAAAGCACACACCGTTTTTTTTTTATGTGTTACATTCCATACATTCAAAAATTGTATGGTCTTATATGGTGCTCATTTTAATGGGCCTTTAGGAGCAGAGAAACATTATAATAAATCGGCTGTGATTTTCCTAAAAAAATATATATAAATAAATAATAGTTTATTTAGTTTACTTATTATTCCCTCCCTTTGCTCCTCCAGTTGGAACAAATTATTTCAATATTTTACTTTCGTATATTGCCAAGATATTTTAAATTAAAGCAAAATATATATAAATTACATATATTCAAGATTTAGTGATAAAATAATGATACTTATAACATAACATATCAAAGAGTGGGGGAGGAAAAAATTCAAAGTTATATCGATAGAGTGGTTAAAGAATTTAAAAAAAAAGTAATTATCATTTGATTACAGAGGACACAGAATTTCAATAAAAGCTTTATTTAACCCACATTTCACAGTTTGGTTTCGAAACTAAAGAACTTTTTCGTTGTTTTAAAACTTGTTTTCTTATTTTTCTTGACATACTCTTTATTTGTTCCAAAGGAGATTTTAACAGAAGCGATTTCATTACTTTTTACGATTTCTTTCGGTTGGAAAATCGCTTCTGATTCCATTGGAGGATTGGATCCCGTTGTTACAGTAATTATTCTGTTCATGTCGGTTTGTCTTTCATCGTTTGGTTTAAAGATGGCTTCAACTTGGTTTGCCAAATGACTCTTATGGTTGGTTTTTTTAAGAAAATTTATTGATGGTGAAATTTTTATAATAGGAGAATGATTTTTTTTGCGTTTATTTACGAAAACTGTAGGTTTTGTGGAATGGACCTTTACTTTTAATTGGCTATTCTTATTTTTAACATGCTGTTTACGAAGATTATTTGTGGATAAAAAATCTTGTACTTCTTGGCCGTTATGTAATGTTGTCGTTGTAGTGTGAAAAGTTACTGTTTCTCCGAATGAGTGTGGAGTACTTTCATTAAAAGTAACAATGAGTCCCTCATGATCTTGAGTGGTTATTTCATCGGGTAGCGAATCATCTTCCAATAACGGTTTTGTTTCAGTCAGGTCAAGATCCAATTCTTCAGTTCCCAGAGTCATACTTTTTATGTAATCCTTCAACCAATGTGGGTTTTCCTTTTGATGAACTACCCTCGTTACTTTTTTATAGCCTGGAATAATATATTCGGCAATGGGTGCCTCACTCTTCAACCCATTCGTGATATCAGATGAATCGAGTCCAAATGTCTTGTACTTTCCGACATATTTCGACACAATTCTATTGTAATTATCTTCTATTTCTTCTAAAGAATTATCATAGCAAATTTTTTTATTTCTACTTTTCTTTAAGTCAAGCTTTTTTTTCCGCGAACAAAAACATCTTCTACCAACTGTCGAAGGAGTTATATCTATGCATTTTGTCTTATAAATCTGTTCGCACTTTTGTGGAACATTACATTCAATTTTTTTAGAGGTTCTAAAACTCAAGAAATCGGTTAGTAACGATATATCAGTAGTAATGTCGGATATCCAATAATCACGATCTGATTCGTATTTATTTTCATTTTCATTGAATGCATGATGAACTTTCTTCTTAGAAAAATAATCGATTAATTCAATATCAGTCACTGTGTAATATTCTTCTAACGGTTTGGTATTAATGGTACTAGATCCGGAATGTGCCGCGTGCATTACATTCGGACAATGGCGAGTAGATCTTTTTTTGGACTCCATTAGTTTCAAAACGAGAGGGTTATAGTTCATATGCGGGCAAATATGACGATGGTTCTTTCTATTCGTTTCATGAATTCTAGATTTCGTTGCAAATGCTGCGTGTTTTTTCCCTAAGTATTGAGATTTGGTTTCGCACAAACAAGCACATGTACAGCGTCGTTTTTTAGTGCTTAACCAATAAAAACACCCTTCGCTGGGTAGCGTAAAATGAATGGATTCGGGAGGCATCGTAAAACAAGTGGGTGCAGGGGGTGTACAAATTGTTGGACCAACATCTTCTTCTTCTTCTTCTTCTTCTTTTTCTTCTTCCGAAAGTACATCGGTTTCTTCAAGCGGTAGGCAGGTTGTTACCTTCTTCACCCCACCTAGGCACGAGTCGGTTTCCATATTTTCCGGAAAGTATATTAAAGAATCGTCGCCCTCATTCATTGTACATTCTGTACAAGTTGCGGCTCCGCACATTATAGAAACTATGATGTCTTGTCTTGAAGGCCCTGTTACAATGGGATTTTCCTTCCTATAATCGTAAGTGGTAGGGCAATCCCAATGACCTTGTGCTTCAACTGGCCGGTGTGTCATTAAGTGAGCTTCTATTTCTTCGAATTTATTATTATTCCTATTCTCTTCAAATATTTCTGTTTTCGTCGTATCGATTGAATAGTCCGCATTTATTTCCTCTTCGTCATAAATCTTCATGGTGTTTTCTGCAGCTGAACAGAAAGTTTTTAAACTATGGTAGTTCTGCTCTTTGGTTTTATACCGTGCTTTTTCAAACGCATCCGTGCCTTTCCTACATGTACATTTCCATTTCTGAATACTTGTTTTACAAATTGCAGGCATTTCCTCTTCATTTAAACCTGAATCCTCTTCGCGATGAGTACAACTGTTTTGGATTTCAGGCTGGGAACATTTACAACATGATATAACATGCTTATTGTCTATGTGCATGCCGAACCTGGTTGGGTGAACTTTTCGATGATGATGATGATGATGCTGAGTGGTCCGTTTTGTGCGGCAGGTATTACAACAATCATCTCTATCGTAAACGTACTTATCAAGATCCATTTTCATTTGACCCGAAAAGAGTTGATCTTTCAAGCCTCTATCTTCTATGTAATCAAGATTATTCGGTAATAAATGAATATATTCACTTGACAATTCTTCCAATGGAATAGCTAAAAATTCATCGGTTCCATTCAATAACCGCTTGATTTCGTTTAAACGATTTAATGGAATTTTTGAAAAGATTTTATTTTTTTCCCATATATTTCGAATTCTATTTATGCTTGTACTGTTGGGTAAGGAAACATTATAGGAATATATATTGATACTTGGATTTTTCACAGCCTCTATTCCGCTTAAAAGAGACATAAATGCACTGACACTACCTTGATCCGTTTTCAATATCTCAGTATCTGTATGAACAGATTCCTGATATGGATTTTTGAAATTTAATAAAGGTTTAAAAACCATTGACTGACCCTCATCTGGCAGGAGGTCTGTGAAATTTCTATGAGGGTACTTGTAATTAAAAAGAAGTTTGATCACGGAAATATTACTTCCCAAGTTCTCTTTTAGTATGGGGCGTGGTAAAACTGATGATATCGTTTTATCTTGATCTACTTTATTTGAATTAGATGGTTTTATTTCGGTTAGGTTAGTTAAAATGGGAACAAACGAATCATTGATATAGGACTGCATGAGTGTGGGGCTGTATAGGATACCTGCAATTAAGGAGTGATGATCCGAATTATTAAATTCACCCTCCGTCGCCTTTATATCATTCCAATTACTCATATTAAAATGATTTTCTTTACGATCCTCAGGAGCAATTGGGCCACTATTGAACAATTTATTTTTATTAATACCTTTACGGGCGTACTTTCCGAAGATTGGTACTGGTAGAATCAAAGTATTATTACTTATTACAATATCATCATTGTCTTCGTTCAGGATTAAGGTTATTGGGGTTGCTGGAAGGACTCCAGGATGTGAATTCTTTAACTTTGTAATGAACTTTGTCACGTTCATCTCCGCTAGTGAGTTCAATGAGGTACCGACAATGACTGGTTTATGCTCACCATTGCGTACATCGCTTAGTATTGGTTTATAATTTTCTGTCATTATTTTATTTATGCCTAACCCAAAAGGCGATTCAGAATTAAGATAGGAACTCATGTCGTGGGCCGATAATCGTTCATGTTTTATTATTTCGGAATCTGTGTTATTATTTTTCACTGTTGAAGGAGTAAAGATATGGTCGAATTCTTTTAAAGACAAATAGGTGTTTTTGGTCTTCTGTGTACGTGTTATGTACGTTCCAAGTATTGTAGTCTTCTTGGCAAAACGGTCGATAATTTTATTATTTACCCTTGAAATATCAGTGGTGGTTTTGACTCTGAACCGTTTAATTAGGGCTTTTAACAATTTTAGTTTTTTAGGTGCTATAGTCCTCATAGTTTTTCTTAAGGGTGGTTCAAGGCTATTCGGAGTATGAGCTGGTTTAGAAGGGAGAGTAGAGACCAAACCATAATAGTATTTATCTTCCTCGTCGTATTCCAAGTTATACATTTTTGTGGTCGCCTTTGCCTTGAGAGAATTCATAATGCTTTTCAACTTTTTATCCAATTTCTCTGGTTGAATAACAATATATGATGGATTTATTTCTTTTTTCCTTAAATGAGATAAAGACGTTACAGCATGATGGACAGGATCCTTAACGTTATCAACGATTTTTAAATATACCTTTGCATCGCATCCTGTCCATTTTTTCCCAAATCTTCGTTTTCTTTCCAACATGTCAAAATTTAACACATCTTCCTCTATTTTTCTGATGCTTGGCATATCTCTGAGTTTAAATCTATCCCTGTAAAATTAAAGACTTTTTACGTATTATAAATAAAAATGGTTATTATTATTTTTATAATCCTTCAATAAAACTTATAAAGATACATTATTTACTTCCAATTAACTATGTATGAAATATATATTAAGAAAAAGTATGGCCATCGTGGAAACTTTCTAATTTGCTTTTTTAACCGAAATACGTGCAGTAATTTTTTACAATTTACTCGAAATGACTTAAACTATTTTGAGACTAAATTCGCTAAATCGATGTAAAATAAAATGATCTATAATATCAGTCAGGTTTTACCTTAATTGAAATAGTCAGGCAAGGTCTAAAGCCAAATTATCGAATGTTTTTCCTCTATAGTACCTTAAATTTGATTTATTATAAATAATTGAAGGTCTCTCTTGAAGGTTACTCTTGTCAATAGTAATTATAAAATGTATAAATATGAACATTATTTACTTCTTTCCTTGCCTCGCAACCATACAAATTTCAGGTAGAAGTAGAGGGATACTTCCACTTATTCCCTCGTTCTTCGATATTCTTCATCAGTCGAAGTTTAAATTATAATCTCCCACTAATTCCTTCCACCCGTACACGTAAGCTTTGCAGTTCAGGTAGTTAACCTTACTTATTAACTGCGGGAAACCATCCTCCATGAAGATGAGATTCCGATTTTCCTCAGTAAGTTGTCCTTTATTGCTTCAAAAGCGATGCGAATCGTGACATGCTCAGCAGTATCCGGAACACCACAACAGTAACATAGAGAATTAATTTATTCTCTAAGGAAGGAAACTTAGGTATTTAGCTTGGCACGAAATCTCCCATGCTCTGTGAGGAATAGTGACACCCAATAATCAGGGAGTATCCGTTTCGCTTCAAACCTTAATAGACGGTAGGGCGTATTTTCTGAAGGTTTAATATGAACTATGAAATAATTTAATAGTTCAATTGGATAAATATAAACTAAAAGGCATGTGCCATTTAAAAAAAAAAAAGAACAATGTCTTTTTAAAATATTCCCAAGTTGAAAACAAATTTCTGGAATCGAGCATAGCAATGTGTACCCATATATCGATGGAAAGCTACATATTTTAGAAAAATTAATATAATCTAGATATTTATTATAGAATGAATTTAATATATATATCCAGCGGCCTGGAGGTATCAACAACAATGGTTGAAGCCTTCATGGAACTTTTTTAAACTCAGTGATACTTTTATTTAAAAAAGTTTTAAAGTAAAATTCATTCAACTTTTTTTGTAATAATGATAAAAGTTTAACTTATTAATTTTAAATTCTTAAACAAAAAGCTATGTTAAATAAAAAAATAAACAGTAAAAGAGTTTGGATTATTGATATAATGCATGTTTAATAAACAAATAATCCTAATGCGTCGTTCGCTTCAGTAGCTTAGAAAAAAGTCATATTTAGATTGCTCATTTTTTTTATTTTGTTTTCTGTAAAAATAAATAAAAATTCTTTTAACATTTACTCAAAATGTTGTATGGAAAAAGTTCTAGTTCCGAAATAAAAATGACTCCGTTTTGACTATTTATCTTCTATGAAGAATAACTTCCTTCGGTATTGTCTATTGAAAAATATTAGTCTGTCTCAATCAAGAGCATCTATAATAGTCAGGGGTGCCTACCCCTCTCAAGGACGATATAGCAAAAACCTACGATTGTATCATGGGGAAGAAAGTTTTTAATAATGAAATTTTTTTGTAGAAGTATATATTATTCTACTAGTTTAGCTCCAACGTAAGTTCAAAAGTTATATCAGTTATAACTTTATATGTTGATTCTGAGAATTTGCAGAAAAAAATTATTTTTATAATATTCGTTATTATAATATTGCTCTAACTCTCTATACATCTAAATCTCTATGTATATACATACATACAATAACGTTTATCGTAAAAAAAAAAAAAAAATGACTGCAAATTTTCGGAATGGACATATAAAGTTATAACTGATCTACCTTTTGAACGGTTGGAGATAAACTAGTAAAATATTATATATTCTTCAAAAAATATAAATACGGCAGATTTTCGCCGTTTAGAGCACACAAAATTACTCCCACAAGAAGAAATATATTCCACCTTGAAACACTAATAATCTTTGAGATAAGATGGTAAAAAAACTTTCGGCACATTTCTTGAAACCGGATGGCTGATAACGTTCGGAGAACAATAATAGTTCGTGCAGGTAATGAATGTTTATTGAATATTACCTCTTAATTTATTTCTTAACAATAAAAAAATGTATTTATTTTTTTCTGTGACTTAATTGGTCATTCAGGGCTAACCTTAAAATGTAATTTTATAAAAGGGATTTTTCGAAGTAACCAACCCCAATTACTCTCATAACTTAAATACCTCAATTGCACGTATCAAAACCTGACAATCGGGGCTACGAGTCCCACATAACATCTTAGATCCAAGGATTTGGACTTTTCTATGTTTATATAATTGTAAACAGTGGTAGAATGTGCTAATGTACTTATATTGGTTTACGAGTTTTTTTATCCACATTCTCAAACCAATCATCGCGTTTCCTACACCTACAATCCACCAAGTAACGTATAGGTTATTGGCGCCTTCTGGACTCCGGGTCGTCCGTTCGGGTCTGAGAACGTCTCTCTGTCATGTCCGGATTAATGGATAACTAACAATAATCCAACGGTTTGGTGTGCTAAAAATGATGGACCCTACTAAACCCGAAATAAACAAACAAACCAGACAATTACTGTGACTAAAAATAATGCATGCATGTAATAAACAGTAACGAGAGTAATTCAACGAAAACTATAAATTTACATTGCACCTTTCTTCGAAGCAGACCATTATACTTAAGTTATTTTCAATCTTTGCGTGATAATAATCATCTTGTTAATTATCATTACGTATAAGTGGAAAATCGTTAATTATCGAGTTTTGACGGTCTTCTTCCAAGCTAGCTTTTTTTAGGGTGTATATGAAGAGTACATTGACGTTTCTTTATAATTAATTTATATATTGAGTCATTTAGTAGTATTTTATAGTTGGATTCCAAAAAGAAATATCGTACCATAAAAATCTCAATAAAAGGGGCATCAAATAACCTATAAATGTGCCCTCAGATATAAAGAGGTAGTGGACTCCGGGTATGAAGGTAGTGGTCTTGGATACACAAGAACACGTCATGTGAATTACGATCACATGGTTCCCATATGAATGTTTAACCTTGGATCGGAATATATGTTCATTTTAATATCGGCTAAGTTTATTTATCATATAACATAATTACTGTTTACATTGGTTTCCTCCATGTGGCTTCTTGAGTAGTGGCGATGACATCTCTCTGTGCTTGCGGGTTAACCTTAGTCCTACGGTTCGGGTAACACATCCTTACAAAATGAAAATTGAATTAAATTTTGCTAAAAATTATTCGAAAACAACATAAATCTAATTATAAAGAGAACAGTAAGGCAATGCATACCCTGTTTGGTAAGTACTTATTGCAACCATCAGTGTGACAAGTACATCAAAATTCATCAATTTTAATCGACCCCTCTTCGGAAATATGCATTTGAGGAATGTCTTCCCGATATTAGATTCTAATCATACTCATATTCAACATTTCTTCTAAACCTCATCTTCAATACTTAATTGAGTTACCAAGCTATCATAAAATTTTCATATGGCTTTGTAATTGTTCTATTATAAACAAGCGATTTTTTTCCGTCAATGTTCTTTCGATAATTATTCTGAAGTTAGTGAATTTTCTCATTATTCCTCTGATAACTGGCGGATGAATTGATTGTGTTTTTGTAAATTTATTCATTTCAATAGCATTGAGATAGAGTGTATAGGTTATTTTTAAAAACTATTTTTATTCTACTACAATACATATCGAGATCACCTTTTCTTAATAATTTCATATCTTACTTACAAATTATGTAGCTTAAAAATAATTTAATTATGAATAAAAATTAATTTATAATAAAGCAATTGCTATTCCAAAATTACTTTGAACACACTACAAATTGAATCTCCATAAACGCTGAAAGTAGTCGAGTGTTGACAACCATCTTCAAATATAAATGACAAACGTGTCTTGACAATTTATTTTTGTTAAAGTGCACGGAATGTTATTTTATATGGTATAACAAAAAAAAAGAAAGATTTTTATTCCTGTTTTTGTTTGTTTTTTTCATGACGGCGAAAAACGCACTCCATTATAGATAATATACAAATATATTACTACATTTATTATTAATTGTACGTAATAGGATGCGAACAAATGTTTTTGAAATAAAGATTTAATTTGTATTGCACCAGTGATACAGCTAAATGTCTATTATTTATTTCCTAGTGTCGTAATTATATATTCTGCTTAAGAATACGAATACGAAAGAATGCAAGATGTATTGATTATCGTTGGTTGAAATATAAAAATTATTTTTCCTGTAAAAAAATCACGTAAGCTGAAAAACGTTTCGATAAATCGGTTTACGCTAATGTATATATAAAACGAAATGAACATGATGAGGTTAACCTTTAGCTTTTAACCTTAACCTTACTAATCCTAAGTATATGAAGAGTTGGAGATCAATCGGCTGTGTACCACCTCTGGGTTATTTCAGGTTTCCATATACAGTCTGCTCAAAGTGATTTTGAAATAACCCTCCACTTTGGAGAAGTGATTCGGAACTAGTACCATTAAAAAAAAATAGCAGACCGTTAAGTAGATGTACTAGTATTTTATAATATTACTATAATCACTATCGTCACTGTCCTGATCTGCTATTTATGTTGGATTTAAGGATAACACATTCCTGGATCGGCTCTTCATACCAATCAGAAACCGTTACTATGTGATATATATGTGAGTGAATATATGATGATGTCAAACGCTTTATACGATTTTTACCGGATTCCTTGAACCTGTAGGCCCCAGTACCATGGGTTAGGAAATTCAAACTCTCCCTTGGCCATTGGTTGACCAAACTTATTATAAATACAAAATGTCAAACTTACAACTTTATTAGAATGCATAATAATTCCTCTGATCATATAATAATATAAAGATATGCAATACTATTATTATATTTACTACTATACTATTATATTTTAGTGCTGTTTATAAGCTTATTTAGTGAGAAAAAAACACAGTTACCTAAATTAGCACATTGGGTAATAACACTGTTGGTGAAAATAGTCAACAGAACCTGTTTGTCCAAGCCGAAGCATTCCTTACCCTAAAATTTTTATTTTTATTTTTTATTTATTCATGATATTTACAACTGTATTAATAAATAAATTAAATTTAGTAAATTTGATAATAGAAAATAATAACATGAAATCACATGTTCAGAAACTACCCAATGCTATCGCTGTATAAACTGTGTAAAGGATAGGACCAAGGATACTACCTTGAGGAACTCCGGCAGATTGAGAGAAGAGGGATGAATAGGTATTATTGTGATTTACTTTGAAGGGTCTATCAGTAAGATAGGAACTGATGATCAGAAAATATGTAGGGGGAAAGAATGTATGGAGTTTGTAAAGTAATCCCGGATACCAGACTCGATCAAACGCCTGTTCAACGTCTAGAAAAACTCCAGTGCAATACATTCCGCGCTCCAATGCAGAGGATACAACGTCTTCCACACGATCACATTGCTGGATAGTGGAATGGGATGTGCGGAAGGGTCAGGAAAATATGTGGAACGGAGTACGGCATTATAAATGTAAGTAAGGAAGTAGTTTAAGAATATGGGAAGTGATTAGGTCGTGGCCAGGAGCTTTGCGGGAGGGTAATCTGTGAATAATATTAGATATTTCTGAAGGATGAAATGCTTTAGGAGGAGGAGTCATTTGGAGTGGAATATCCAGTTCTGTTTCAATAAATTCATGCTGATTTGGATTAAGGATATCAGGATGTGAATTAAAAGTTTTGAAGAGGTGATGAGCAAAAATTTGGAATTTTTCTTCATCAGATTTGAACCAAGTTTGAGCTTCAGTAAGAAGTGGATGATTAAAGTCATTAAATTTTAGGAGGCGTTTAGTCGTTGTCCACAGTGATTTGTCGGTAGGTGTAAGTTTTTCAGTAAAATTTAATAAATTTTGAATTTTCTAATTTCTGATTTTAGTTTGTTAGTCAGTTGGGTGTAATGAGTTTTATCTGTTGGATATGTCAGTACTTTTAAATTTAAAATTTGAAAATTTTCCCAAACTTAATTTTCGCTTTTTTCTTCTAAACATGAAACTCTGCTCTTGATAAACAATCGATTCCATTTATATCGAATACAGATCGTGTATTAAAAATTGATTGGTATTAACGATATACACCTTCAAATATTTAAAATTGAAGATATCACATAGATTTTTCTTGTTATTTTTCACAATGAGTGACAGTCCTAAAATTAATCTGGGGCTTCTTAGAGAAACGTATATTACCGCTAAGCCCCGAGACGACATTAGAGTTATTTGTACGGGATCCATCAACGCTATGAAGATTTCTTCTAATCCGTCGGAGCACCAATTACAGCAATTCATATATCTTTGTCAGTCGGTTATTGCCTTCGAAATTCTGAAACATTAATGCTACAGGGAATTTATTAAACAAAGAAAATAAATCACACTATAATAATTACAGAAGAAAACTACTTGAATATTTCTGTTTATTATTTAAAAATTTACATATATTATAAAGGTAATTATTGTTGATTGGTTTCTATATGATCTCATATATACATCTTGGAAGAAGTTTCTGTACGATGTTTATTTTTACATTCATATACATTAAATATACATATAATAAGTGTAAATATTTTACAATTTGAGTTTCCAACAAAAATACACACTTTAATTCCAAATAAGCAAGTCTCGCAATATGATTTTTGTGTGTATGTGAACGGCCTTACTCGAAAACAAACCTAAAGTTAAAGTTTTAAGATAAACATAATATGCTAATCTTAAATATGTAACTTTGATTCATAAATGACTTACGATTCTGAGTCTGTTTTTGCCACTCTTTCTTGAAGCGAGCGACAGATGAAAATTGTATAGTCATATGCTCAATTCCTAATTAACATCTACAAAAAAACATAATGGAGCATATTATATGAACCGTTATAATATATCCCAGACCAAGGAAAAAATAAATAAAAGCTTCGCCACAGTTAATTGGAGTTAATTTAGTTGAAAACTGCTACTTTTAGGTCACATTAAAAAAAATCACAACATTTCTATACACGACTAGAGGTGAATCCAGAGGTTTTGAGGGGAGCATATTTTGACGAGTTTTGGAATTTTTGAGGGGGGCACATTTCAATGCGTTATGAATTTCCGAAATGAAAAGTTTCAGAATAAGTGACAAGGAGAAAACATGGATCAGACCGATGATCTACGAATTTTCTAATTCTACTTTCTTTTACTCTGTTTTTAAGAAAATGTGAGCAATAAAATGTTTTGGAAGAGAGATATAGGTTCTTGCGTCATCGAACTCAGGGGGGATGAATCTCAAGAATTTGCCTAATAAACCTCAATTTAAGTAATATGGACTTGAAGCTCATTAAACGAATAAGTTTTTCTAAAAGCGGGATATCAGTAGTACAATTGGATAATGATAACAAAAAAAAAATCGCCAACAATTTTTTAAAAACCGAACTTATCAAAGTTTAGTCAAAAAACGCTAGTTTACAGTGAAACAATTGCTAATTACTTAAATTGAATATTTCTTTAGTCATTGCTTCATATTCATCAAAAAGCATGACTTACTTAAAAAAAAACACTAAACTTGGATTTCCTACTATTCTGCAGAGAATTGGCCCATTATTTATATGAACCTTTTTGTAGGCCTTGAGGTCTCTACTATTACTCTTATACAAATTTCCCTCTACGTACGGGATACCCTGTACAGTAAGTGTAAATATTACGATCGTCAACAATTTTACAATAATATATAATACAATAATACAACGCATAGATAAATAATATATATAAAGATAAAGAGAATTAATATACATAAATACAAGATAAATAAACTAATAAATTAAAGCTGAATGATAATAAAAAACATTCACACCGATGTACAATATTTACATTGACCCGTGGGACTGTAAATAAAGTTTTGCTCCCCAAATGTGGAAGCCAAAGCAGGACTCCAGGAGATCCCAATGCTTCTCTCGCAGCCGAGTTATTGGATGCCAGTGGAGACTGATGGAGAGCGCTAGAGCAACATACGCTCAGAATTTGAGTGGAGAATCTGGCCAATGCCAGAACTTCATCATATATATGTTTACAAAAGGTCGCGGGGCCATTGCCGTTTTAACCCTCGAAGAGGATTGTAGGAATGGCTGGAGTTAGATAAAGATCGTGCTTCAGGATGAGTGATGTTCTGATTTAGTTATTTATCTTTACTTTACTTTCGTATGGACATATTGTGTAAATGAATATTATAGCCCTATTACCAATGCACTTCATTTTGGCAGACTGTATTAAAACTCAATAAAATCATTTTTAAAAAAGTTGAATAACCCAATGTCCTAATATATAATTAAATATTAACTTCCTCTATTAGAGTAGAAATTAATTTCTGCCCAAAATAGGGTGATAATAGAAAGTTCTGCAGCGCTAAGTTGGAACGAATATTTTGTTTTATATAACCCTCCGATAATACTTACAAAACTTTTAAAATATATACATGTGTTGAAATATGATATATTTATCTTCTAATGTACGTGTGCATTTGAAAATGTAAAGTAATATGGAAGGCCTTAGGACAAAACGAAAGGCATATATTTTCCCTCGGATTGCCAGTTAATTGTTGTCGAGTAATAGTATCAGTTATCCTCTTATATATTAATTCTGAATATATTTATATATTCAAGGAATTTAGATAAATATAGAGCCCTA